CAAAACCCCAAAACCCCAAAACCCCAAAACCCCAAAACCCCAAAACCCCAGAAACACTATCTTAATTGCTTTATTTATGCATTTACAGTCCAAGTCTCTGGAAAATATGGCGGGTATATTCTCTTGAAAAGGGGCATGCATACCGTATCTCCTGGGTTAATTCCATCTGTGAAGTATCATTTCATGAGCCCATGGGTTCCAAGACTGTTCTTGATCTTACCCCTCAGTCCGAACTTAGTGTACAGCTCTACCGGCATGAAGTATTGGATATCGTACTTGTTAAAGAACATATACCTAATGATGGCTCTCTTCCTCTTACATTTGATAGGGTATCCTGTTAAGACAATTCTTTTCAGGATAATCTTGAGAGGATCTGGGTCGATAACAGTTCCATTAGCTACTAAGACAGGGTCATGTGAGTCATAATCCATCTCTATTTCTTGGCTTCTACCTTCACCCTTTCTGAAAACAATTACTTGAGAATTTGGGAATCAGACAGGCATGAAAGCACTAGCCATCACTTGAGTATCGTGAGGTAGATATCTGTAGAATTTAGCCTTGTTTGTATGGAGATAATCATCACTGAAGATTGGACGAGTGATGAATCTTCTGAACCCAACATGGAACTCCAAGACCGATTTAGAAGGGATCACATTCTTATCTTCTTCATTACGCTTGATTTTGAAATGAGAAACAATGATTTTCCTCTCATGAGGCATCATTGTTGAGATGATGAGATTCTGTTTCTCTCTAACATCTTTGAGTAATTCAACTGAACTTTTTGATTTTTGATCACATGGTTCAAGGATTAATTTCACATATGTTCCATCGATTGGGAGTCCTTCTTTCTCAGTCTGTTCAATTGCTAGTTTCTTTACTTGAGCAAAGTTTTCAAATCTCCAGATTTTAGCATACTCTGGAGGAAGAGTCTCAAATGGGTCCCAGTTACAAGTCCTAATGTTGTTGACACTTCTGTATTTTTCAAATCTCTCTCTTGCTGGTTGATCTAGAGGAGTGTCAACTTCATCTGGGAAGTCCATTTCATCTTTCTCCCTTTTCTCTAAGTTGGTGAATTTCTCATGCTTCAGAGAGGTTTTGTTGATCTGTGTTTCATAGTCTTCGAAGCTAAGATCATCATCATCTTCTTCATCAAAGTCTGGTTGAGACCTGTTCTCACCGTCCACGACTTGGATTTCCATCTTTTTGAATTGGTCAGCTAATTTTTCGATATCGTCAGCAACTTCTGGCTTTTTGAAGTTTGCATCAAGATTAGTAGGCATTTCTCCAGGCTCTTCATTCATATCAATATCCTTGTATTCTTCATGGAGGAGATTATTTTTCTTACTAAGCTCTTCGTTAGTTGGCCAAGTTTGTTCAGCACCGAATGGGTCGATCTCATTTTCAACATTATCAGCATCCGCCTTCTCTTGATTATATTGCTGGAGGATGACCTCTTTAACTTCTTCATCAGTATTCATTTCAGAGTCAGCCTTCTTTTTCTTTTCTTTATGCATTTTAGTAGGGTATGGATCAGTAGTGGCAATAATTTGAGATATTTTAAAGTCTCCATATCCTGTGATATGTGCTAACCTGTTACAGGACAAGTAGTTATCCCTAATGTAGCCTTCTACTTGGAGAGCACCATTGCTTTCGTTGTATTCTGAGGCAATCATGTAAGATCTGTTCTCTTTCCAAAATAGTTTACTTCTAGCAAATGTTCCTGTGAGCATTCTAATTAAGTTTTTATAGCTACTGTCCAGGAGACCTTTAGTTGATCCGTCAATTACATGAAATTTGTATTCATCACTGAATTCAGAGACAAAGTATCTATGGAATAACTTTTTGATCTGGTTTCTTTTCTTCTGGTGGATTTGCTCAATGTGCTGCAAAATACCGATTGAAGGAGGAATTCCTTGCACTCTCAGTACATTGAGGATTTGATATCCGACTTCATCGATTGCATTAGCAAATTCATCTGGGTTGTCTCTAACCTTATCAGCTTGAGCTTCTTTACAAGAGAAAGCAAAGAGACAAATGTCTGCAATTTTGGTAATATCAAGGACAGAGTATATGTCTCGTTTACATACATGGAACATTAGTCTTTGCTTTTTGACTCCCAGGTTACCCCCACTTTCTACTAAGTATGCTTTTAACTGCTCAGTTGTCCCATCTATTTTCATTTCCTCCTGGTCTTCTCCTGAAAGCTCTCTAGCAAGGTGGTTCTTAAGCTCTTCTGGGTTTCAATGGTCATTAAGAGGAATGATGGCAACTAACTTTGGTGCAATGTTGGATGTATAAGGCTTAATGGCTTCTTTAGTGTCTTCTTCAATGGCTAAGTCTTCTAAAGAGATCTTCTTAATTCCTCTTCTCTCAGCAATCATTTTATCCTTCTTGTTTTTCCTAATTTGAGCAGCTCTGTTAAAGAGATCGACTTTGGTCATGCTCTTCTTGACATAAGTAGGCGCATTTATGGCTTTCTTCTCCACTCTTCCTCCTTGTTTTCTGGTCCTGTAGTGGGATTTATTCTGCTGTTTTTTATGCGAAACATGTTGATGTCCACTCATTTTCGTGTTTTCAATTAAATTTAATACTTTTGGGGTTTTGGGGTTTTGGGGTTTTGGGG